CAGGATTAACAAATTGATTCTTACTTGAATGTCCCCCCACACACCTCCCTTTTGCTGTAAATCACTCCGTGTGTAATAAAAAAACTTGATAGGCCAATTAGTTGGCAAAGGTGCTTTGCGATTTTTAATGAGAATTTTTCAATGGATTTCTAATCGGATATTGAATCGAGCTCCCAATGAATAAGTGACTGCCTATCTCGCAAACAAGTTACACCTACTGGAGATGCACAACCCTAAATGATTCTTCGATATTGGCGATCACATGTAATAATCGCGATAAGCACCATCACCCCTTGTATCTACTGGTCATTTCGTAAACGTCTTGGTGAACGCGAGTTAATACTAACCACAAGGCAGGAATGGCGAAATAGGTGAATTCGATGAACACCATCTGCTTAGTTGCCAAAAAACAGACACGACAATCGGTTGTTTCAATCCTGACAAGAAGAAAACAATTCAGTTTACAGGCGAAAACCGAGGAAAAGCAATCAGTGCCCTGAGAACGGGCGAGAACATCATCACCATCCTCGAAACGGATAAAGATCGAGCGACCATCGCAATGAACAAAATAGGCATCAGAAAGATAAACAAATGATACTGAAAGATACAAATACTTCTCGTTGAATCAACAATATCCAAATGAAAAACACTGAAAAGTAAACATCCTTAATGGCATCAAAATATATATATATGGGCGGCCAAAAGACAGCAACCAAAAACTGCCCACGAAACTGCATGGTTAGTTTAGTTTAGTTAATACAGCCACGCACCATCGTGCGCCGGCTTTGGTTGCTGTCTTTTGGTCGCCCATTTGGATGAACAATAGGAGGAAGACAGGAAAGGTTGAAAGTAAAATCGAAGAGAAAATTGAGAAGTTCAGTGGATTAATGATACAGAGAAACTGAGAAGATGCACGAACGCCACTGTCTACAACACCCAGCCATATCACTGTGTCTATAACCATCGGGTACGACCATCCCGAAGTCCCCAGCCAAGGAGCCTAACGGGACCTATGTGACCAAGACTCCTAGTTAGAGATTTCATACCTTCATTCCAAGTCTTACCGTGACCAATCTTGACTTTCTTTCACCTACTACCTGCCTCGGCGAACATCGCTCGCCGTGGTAACCTATCTGGTGACATGCGTAACACATGTCCCAACCAACGTAATCTATGGAGGTCGATCACCTGCTCCAGTGGGCGACCGCGGATACCCAAAACTTCGACTAACCTCAGCATTGCTTATCCGGCTACACTACCAGATTCGTGCAATGCTGTGCAGACAGCGGTGTTCAAACACCGACAGTCTGTCTTTATCCTGTTTTCTTAATGGCCAGGTTTCTGCGGCGTATTGCAGAACTGGCAGAACTCTCGCAGC